CTGATTTTTTTGTGTTAATTCATTAACTGAACTTTTAAGTTTTTGTAGTTCCTGCACATACACAGCAACTTCCTGGGGGCCTTTGGCAAGTTCACTCCTCAGCTGGCTTATTATGGCCTAGAAAGGAAAAAAAATTCAGAAAACTAAAATAAAAAGGGAAATGGAAGCATCCAAAGGTTTTAAGATTACATAGATTTTTGTCACTGTTGTCACTAAACTTTAATAATCTTAGAAATTTCAACTTGATTCTTTTTTTTACCTTACTACCCCTACTGCTTCCCCAAGTCTTTTTTTGGCTGAAAATTAGTTTTCAAAATGTATCCAAAACTTTACAACTTCATTTTTTAATAACACATGAAATGAAAAGTTGGCATCCTATTTTATGTGTCTGAAACAGCAAACTGCAAACTTAAACTTACTGGCTTTAAATTCTATAATTTAATCCTTCTCAATTCAAAAAGGATATGCAAGTTATATATCTACATTTTCTATCAACTTCTATAGCACATTTCAAAATCATGCTAAATGCAAACAACCAACACAGAATTACCTTTGAAGGTGACTAATCATTTATTTACTTTTACTGTAATAGAAAGTATTTGGCCAAAGAAGCTGTCAAACAGAAGTTATATATAGTTTCATTAACTTGGATCTCTCTATGATCATGGATAATAGCTGGGCAATTTGTTTTAATGTGTTTACCATTTTTTAAATGAAAATTAATGTCTATTATTAAAACAATGGGTTAATCATTTAATAAGTAAGGTAAGAGAAAGATAACCAAAGAACCTGGAAATACAAACTTATTATATATGAAAGCTTCAACCACTAAAAAGTGGGCAACTTGGTTTCCTGAAAGTGATGTTAATAAGAGACCTCTGTATTTCTAATATTGCTTATCAGGTTTACTTTTTACATTCCTAGTGTTACAATTATCTTCATTGTCTATATTCTTCATTAGTAAATAAATTTTATAATATGAATAAATCTAAATTTTTTTAATAAACACATCAGCATTACCTATACTGTATATTACAAATGGGTACTTTTGTATACTACAAATGAGTACAAGAAAAAAAATCTAAGAAAGCCACTAATTAATGCCAAGTGATCTTTTGCTCTAGAATTTGTGGCATATTTTTGTTGTTGTTTCAAGGATTCTCACTGTAATAAGATCAAATCCACTGTAAATGGATGAAGGTATAAAGTTTTCGAAACAAAACTAGTAAACAATGTAACCTAACTGAACAATCAAACATTTGGGCTTATTTTAATAACCATAAATAACTGAAATCAGTGTTTTGAGTGTTTTCCAAACTGGTTTGAGGTCAACAAAACGGTTGACCTCAAAATATTTTCAAAAATTTTGAGGTTTCAAAAACATTTTTGGTAATGGCAACATGTCTGAGATATGTTCATGGCCTGACCTTTTAAGGAAAACATGTATATAAAACATATTTCAAAAAAGGAAATGTTTAAATATTCAAGTATTTTCAACTGTGTTCAAGTTAAAGTGTATCTTAATGCTCTGTCTTAAACTGGCTGTGTAACCTTGAAATGTATTAGGAGTTTCCTTTAAATTGCTATGACTAACAACTTTGAATCTTAGAATTATTCTCTATTAACATTATGGATGGTAATTAAAATATCAGGAACAATTCAGCTACTTTAAATTACTATGCTTTAATCACCTATCACAAGAAAAATTATATTTAAATCTCTACTTCTATCTTATCAAAGAAATTACTAGAGTTTTTCACACATAATAAACAAGTATGTACTAAAATGCAAATTTTGAGTATATTTCATTAAAATACCATGATTCCACATTAAAGATTATAAGATTAACCATGTATAACATATATCCAATATCTATTCTGCTGATGAATTCCAACATGCAAAAGAAACTAATCATAGAAAATGTAAAGCAAATGCATCCAAAATTATTTGTTATATCTTACAATGTATCTGTTGTACACTAAATACACATTTTTTAACTTGAATTTTTAAAAATACAAAAGCAAGCACTTAAAACTTTTTAGTTTACTCAAGGATAAAAAAGAAAGATGTAGGAAGAGTATACACCTAAAGATAAATTTTAGTTATGGGTAAGAGAAGAAAGAGGAATGAATCACAGGAAGCTTTCACTCTCTACTGTATATTGAGTCATTTTAACTTTTTACAATGATCATGTATTATAGCTCTATTTTTAAAAAATTAAGATTGAAGAAAGACAAAATTTCTAAGGAAATACACTCACTATTGAGATACCACTTTAGGTGAAATTCACAAAGAAGGTTCTGCAAGCCACACAGACAGTCCTCACTAGTGGACAGGACAAGCTCATCTGTGCCCAGAAGGCTTTAGCACTTGCACTCCTTCCTCCCGGGAATGCTGCTCCCAGTTCTTCACTCTGCTTCTTGCTTACTTCATTCTTCTCCCATGGATCCTCCTTGAGGATACCTTTCCCTGATCATCCTATCTAAAACTGATCCACATTATTGCCAACCCCACTACTTCCCATGTCCTGCTTTGTTTTTCCTCATAGCACTTAGGATTAGCTGACTTTCTATTGTGAGTTGGTTTATTTCACATTGTTTGGCTTCCAAAAGGAATATAAGCTTTATGAGATCAGGCACTGTATCATATTCACTATTCTATTCCCCACATGTATACTAGCTGCTGTCACTCAGGCATTGAAAAAATACTCATTAAAGAGAGGAGTGATTCTCCCAGAAGTTAACAGATACTTGCACAGTATCTCTGTACATGGAAACAAATATATAAGACCTTATAAAATAATGTGCATTTCCTTGAAGCCACATTACCGAATTTAACATTGAATTTTTACTAAAAAATTTCAAGTTACAAAATAATTAAGGAAGGATATTTCAAAACTTCCTGCTAGTGCTTTAGGATTATAATTATTGTCCTAATGGCCAAATACTTTTAGTAAATAATCATTTTAAAGATGGTTAAAATTTGGCTTGATTAATAAAACAAAAAGGAGCATATATTTGAAGTTCTGAGACTGTCTTAAAACACAAAATTGCCATATGGTGCTAAAAGGTACTACATTAAAAACAATACTAATATGAAAAGTCTTCCACAAAGACATTACCTCAAGTTTAAGCATCTCCATTAGAAAGCAGAAAAAATAAAATGATGGATGAAACATGGGAAACAAAACTGACAAAAGTACACACTGGACATACAATAAAAAGTACAAACACTTCTGAATCTCATCGCTTACACTAGCAAGTTTTAAAGACATTTAAGTGCTCTCTTTAATAACCCTGAATGAATGTAATATTTATTCCATCTCTTTATAACCTTCTTAGTTTTAAAAATTAGGATTCAAATGAAGATATTTGTAATATAAATAAAATTCATCAAAAATCATTTCCAGTAAAGACAACACCAAATATATGTTAGTTACAGCTCTGACATTTTTAATAATGCAGATTTATAGGAATAATACTTTTATTAACCTTAATTTCTGATCTAAAGAAAAGTTATTTTAAAATACTTTTAAATGTTTTAGACTGAGTTATTTTTCCATATGCTTTTCAAAATAGATTTTTTAAATGACAACAAATTCTTAAGTTATATTTTTAATGAAAGGAATGGAACATACTTAACAATGTATATCAGATTATGTATCTTGAACCTTAACTAGAAATAGAAAACAAATCATTGCATTTTTAGCTTCTTTAATTCCTTTTACTCTTTTATTTCTAATGTCATTGTTTAGGTTCAGAAAAGCAGTAATACATAAGACATTTTTTTTCTTTTAGTTCTTTAGGTTATATAATTCACTAACACACATAAGTGAGAATAAATAAAACTGAATTTTAATAAAATACACACCATATACTAAGGAGTAAGTAGAAGCTAAAAACACAGTAAAAAACAAATGAGATGGAATATTTAGACAGTCCTTTTTTCATATGGAAATGGTATGGGACACAACTCCAAAGTATTTTAAGTTATACTCAATACAAATATACAGTATGTCAAAATGCCAAAAGTAATAACAGTAAGCATTAGTTTATGATTAATAACACAAATTTACTTCTAACACAATCACCAGACCACCAAAAATGGGACACGACATGATAGAGAAAGACATGAGCTTCAAGACAGACTTGAGTTCTAATCCTAGCTTCTTTACATTAGGTGCATGAACTTGAACAAGCTATTTAATCTCATTGAAGCCCAGATTCCTTAAATATAAAACAATACTTAACTTACAGAGTTAAAAGAAATTTCTAACCTAACACTTGAATGGGATTTTTTTCCCATGAAACTTCTCTGATTCAGCCTCTCCTAGATTACACATTAGGAGATTTTTATTGGCTTTGATAAGTTCATGAACTCCCTAAAATTATTTGAAAATCTGTGGGACTTTTATTACTGGGCTACAAAGATCATGTTTGGGAAATCTGCACCTGAAGTTCATCAACTTAAAAGTTTGAAATGTTAACCATTACAAAGACTCACATGCCTATGTGTGTTGTACCCATAAACTTTCACCAATCCTCCAGTGATAAGACATAGGAGAAAGTAATAAAAGGAACAGAGGGACTATCTATAATATTTATACTCCATAGCTCATTAATAATTATGAATAGTGGCTGAAAAAATCCGAGATGCAAGTTGAAATGTCACTATAACTTAACTTTTAAACTGAAAACATGAAAAACACAGGTCTATATAAGGGAGCTTAAGAACTATACACAGTAGTAGCTATAATAAAAATACTGCCTATGATACAGTAAGAAAGACAAATGCCAGCATTTTTAAGCAAATATATTTACTACATAACCTAGAACTTGTCATATGCTGACAATTATATAAGGGATTGACAGGCAAAAGTCATGTAATAAATAAAAGAACTGAGAATGTTTATCCTAGAAGAAAATTCAGAGTAAATATGAACAGTCATCAAATATTTCATGTGGAAAAGAACAATTTATTCTGTGTAATATTTGAGAACTGGAACCAGTACATGTAAATTATAGGGAAACAAATGCCAACTCAATGGAATGGCGGACTTAGGAAGAAATATGCAACCCCTACAACACATAGCAAGAGTTGTAGATCACTTATCAGAGACCTATAAAGGGAACTCCTCTATGGAGTGTTAGACTAGAAGATTTTTAAGACTTCCTTCAACCACATAACTGAATAATTGATAAATGAAAACCAAGTCTAATAGATAATAAGTCTTAAACATTTTTTCTAAGCAACATAAGTAATACAAATGAAGAAAACGAAATCATACTTCCTTTACCCCTACCAAATTGAAATAAATTACTACTTATTAATATGGAGCAAATTTAAATATTTCTCCACAATATACATTATTTATTAAACAGAGTAATACTCCTTTATGCAAATATTCTTCTCTAAGTGTCCAACTTCTTACAGCAAAGATAAAAATATTATCAGCCCATAGTGACTATATACAGATATTACTGAGACCAGATGAAAGAAAGGCAAGTAGTGTTTGAGTCACTCAGAAAAATGCTGGCGTGACTCAACAGTGCACATTAAACAAGTTAACATCAGTCTTATTTAAGTGCACTAAATTTCATTACCTCTGAGTTAGTACATTCTGTTTGTAACTTTTTGCACTCGTCTTTGAGTTTTTCAGATTCTCTCTCACGTTCCAAGGTCATGTTATCCATTAGTGTTTGAACTTGGACCAGTTCTTTCTTTAACACAGCAACATCCTCTATTCCAGGTCTCTGAAGCTGTGAAGCAACATATTTTAGTTAAAAAACAAAACAGTGAAACTGTTTAGTGAACAGACATTTTTTAAATAGTTTTACTACTAAGAAATAAAATAAAACAATCTTTTAACATCAATTACTAGATTCCAAACATTGAACACAGATGCTTTCCCCCAACAATCTTTATCCTTTTTTCATAGAGCTAAATAAGAGCTCTCTCTCATATTTACAGTATTACCACTCAAGGTACAAAATAGCAAATATACAATTATCCTTAGTGCTTTAACTGCTTTCCTTTCCTTCACAAACTACACCCACTTAAAATAACAATCACTTGTCAACGCTAAATGCCTTCATTTTTTTATCCTATGAAACTGGTAATAAAATGAAGGAGCAGATATAAAAATAATTAGGGTTTGCTGCAGATTGTATCTAAATAATTTGCATATTCATATGTTTACTGCATGGTAATAAAGGACAGAAAGGAAGCAAGGACAGATCCAAGATTGTTAAGCCTGGGGAGAGGATTAAAAACATACGGTAACAATGACGGAAACATGGTGACAATGTTACACTTGTTGAATTTGAAATGAAAGCTGGAAGCGCAATTAGAAGAGCCCTTGTTGTTGTTGGTCAGTCACTAGGTTGTGTTCAACTCTTTATGGCCCCATAGACAGCAGCCCGCCAGGTCTCCCTGTCCTTCACTATTTCCCAGAGTTTGCTCAGATTCATACCCAGTGAGTCGGCAATGCTATCTAACCATCTCACCCTCTGCTGCCCTCTTTTGCTTTAGAAGTGTCCAAATGGATTTACAAAACTAAAGTTCAAGGAATGGTAAGATCAGAGAAGCAGGTATGGAAACTACCAAAAATGGCAGGTGACATTAAAACAAAAACAATAAAAATGTTAATGTCATAATGTATCATAAAATTCCATTCTTACTTTAAAAAATTATATATAGTGTACACACACACACCCCTATATATATATTTGTAAGTGGTAAAACTACAGGGAATTTTTTTTAATTTCCTCCATTCTATTCAAGCTATACTTTTAAAAATGTTTCATCAGCATATGTATTTCATTTATCCATTTCAAATAAGGTACATTCTAATAAATGGTTACCAGTTCAGTCTTTAGATCTTGAATCATAGCTGCTTCTTTGTTTAATTCTTCTGTTAGATGTGTCACTTGCTGTTCGGCAGCTTCTCTAAGACTCCTTTCTTCATCATATTTTGACTTTACATCTAATTAAGGACAGTTACATAGATGACATGACATTAACTCTAGAGAAGATAAGTTATAAATTCTTGTATATCCAGTGCCTATCTAAATATCACTCTAATTCAAATTCACATTCCTTTGATAACCATAAATGTACACAATAAAATTATACTTCTGATAATATTCAATGATAAACTTAAACAATCAAATGTCTTTGTCTACATAAAATCCACTCAATTACTAAATTAGCATTTTAATATATACTCAATCACATATAATATTTTACCTAAAAGCATGTAGTTGAAAAAATTACATGCAATTCCTAGCATAACCAAATGTTAAATCTATACCATATTATTTAACTTCTTCAAAATGTTACTTGTCAATCTTTAAGCATACTTCAAAAGAAAATTCATCTTCTCTAAAATTCAAGAAGAATTTTACAAGGAAAATCAGTTCTTCAAAGGGAGGATGTGGGAGAACAATTAAAATAACTTACACAGCAACTCTTATCATTAAATGCCAGTAATCACCACAATAGTCTATATAACAAATGCTTTAATCACACTAAAATACAATGTTTATCTATACAATATACAATGGCAAAAAGGTAATGAGACTAATTTACTGGATTAAAAAAATTCTGATTTAATTTACCTGCAATTTCAGTGGCAAGTTGGGCTGCTTTCTGTTCAAACAAATCTTTCATTTGTTTAATATTAAAATTTTCTGTTTGGGCTTCTTCTAATTGTTGTTCCAAAGACTGTAGTTCTACAGAAAAGTAGTTATTCAAATACAATGTGAATTACATTTCCTAAACTGGTATTACTTATAATCATTGTAGGAGTTAAAGACAATCAACATGATCTACTAACCAATTACAAATAGAGTATCTTCACATTTTAAGAATTAATCATATCTCAAAAAAAAAAAAAAAAAAGAACCTCAGCCAAACCATTTAAGGCCCAAGTCAAAGTTTACAAACGTGTAAAACAAATGAAAGAAATATTTAGCAATCATACCTAAAATATTTATAAATATTTGTTTAAAGAGTATTCTAATTTCACATTTCACAGTTACTTTTCTGTATCTCTCAACTGACCAAAAAATGTATTTTGTGCCTCTGATGAAATGTTTTGAAATTAGAAATGTCTTAAGAACAATCAAGGTCTTAAATAATATAATCAATTAAAATATGCAGTCAATTCTTACTACTTCATTCTCATAAAGAAACTTCAGAGAGACATTACATACAACAGCTAATCTCAAAATATAATTTTTATTATTCATTGAGCACTCCTCCAGTTAAAGTTCATTACAAAGATGCTAATCTCATTTTTTAATTTCAAGAGGAAAAAAAGTACATCACTGTTTAATATAGATCTAAACTTTCATTAACCACCATATTAATGTAATATTTCAAAAGTGTGTAACTTCAGAATATAATGAACTATAACAGATTAAGATTTCAATAACTGATTAAATTATAAAGTTCACAGGTAATAAACACTCTCAACCTAGAATATAACTGTTACCTTCACTGTTTCAGTGCCATGAAGTAAAACCATAAAACAAAATTCATGTAGCAGGCATCAGAGGAAATGAAAGAAGTAAAAAAGGGATGACAAAGAAGAAAAATGAAAAAAAACAGCTTTAAGTAAAGTTACCTGCTGATGAATCAGCCAGTAATCCATCAGATTTGGACTCCTCAATGAAAACAAAAAACATAAACAAATGTATTAAAAGGAAAAGACTATATTATTACAATTGTCAATGTGAAAAAAAAAAATCTCTGAAATAGATTCTGTCAGGTAAGTGGCAAGATTTTAATGAAAATCAAATTTTGGCCTGCTTACATCCTTCTAGATGTCTAAGATGTCTAGGCTGTCTGGCGTAATAATTTAACTGCAGCTCATTGCCTCTAAGAATTTGTTAACATATTAAATTTTCATGAGCTTTACCAAGATGGCATCTTAAATTCCATAAATTCAGTAATAACATAAGTTATTATAATGGAATGGGTTGCCATGCCCTCCTACTGGGGATCTTCCCAACCCAGGGATCAAACCCACATCTCTTATGTCTCCTGCATTGGCAGGTAGGTTTTTTACCACTGGTGTCATCTGGGAAGTCTCTATTATAAAGGTAAAATAGTCATCTCAAATGTAGTAAACAACTTCCTGTGTTTTCAAGTACAGAAAATAATATTAATACAGCACATGTTTGATTGTTAATGGCATCTACCTAAAACATGAGTAGGTGAACTGTAAGTATTTCAGATTACTAAAACCCTCTTTAATGCATCTTCAATTATAGAAGCTGAGTAGTAATAAGACTGATATCTTGTTATCCATTTATTTTTCTTTTCTAGTCCAAATGACAACTTTTGGGGAAAAGACAAAAAGGCAAAGACGACTGGGAGTCATGTGCTAAGATGTCATGTGCTATCTTAATGTGCTAAGATAATATGCAGAGGGATCACTAATTATTTTATAAAAGTATTAAAGCTATTGTTAAAGGGTGTCATTTTTATTCACAGAAATGAAAACCATATATATATTTGGTAAAATTCATCATTCTATGATTTTTTACATAATGTTCATATAAAAGTCAAAATAACTTTAGTATAAAAATCATAATATGTTAAAACTTTCTTTAGAAAATACATTAAAGAACATTACATATAATGAATCTGAAATATCAAATGAAATCACTCAAAATAACCACTTTGGATTCTACAGTGATTTTCTTGTTCTTTTCTGTATATATTCTTTTTATGAAGTTAAAGTTGTATAGTACGTACACATCTGTGTACAAAGACAATATTTGTCTTTTGAAATCTAACATGAATACAACAGTTTCCCCATGCTTTCAAACAATCACCACTAATATAAACTATAAGCAGTTAATAATAGTTCTTTCCCTACTAATAGACATTTTAGTGATTTCCAATTTGTCACAAACACAAGTACTTTGAAGTGCTTCACTACTGTTTGAACCTGTATTTTTTAACCACTTACATGTATTGTCAGAAAATAAGAATAATGTGGCCTGGTATGAAAAAAAGATCCATAAGTAAACGATTCTTTTGGCTGCACTGTAGCATGTGGGATCTTCGTTCCCTGACCACGAATCTAACCTGCACCATCTGCAGTGGAAGCAGAGTTTTTAACCACTTCAGGGAAGTCCCATAGGTAAATGATCCTTAAGGGAAAACTTTTAAGGAGTTACATCTGAGCTTTCCATATATTAGTTATATTGGTTTGTATTCATTTGAATTTCAAAGGATACATATGTAGGCCACTAAGCACAGAGAAACAATTAGGAAGCTATTCATATCATGCCACTTGTTTACAAAAAAGCATTATACTAATTTAAAACAATGAAAATGAACAACCAATAACACACTTTAAGTATTTAAAAGCAATTACTTGCTGCTGCAGCCCTTGAAATTTTTCTAATTCTTTCTTTAATTCTTCTGAGTACCATTTTTCTTCCTAAGGAAAGAAAAGGTTTTAATCAGCAAAGGTTTTACTTATCTGATACACTGAAAAGAAACAAGAATAATCATTTTTATTTTACCTTAAGTGAAGCCTGCAGGTCTTGGACCTCTTGTCTGAGTAGTGTTATATCATCTCTAAACATAAATTGGAAAAAAGGAATTAATGGTTAATTTGCTTTAACAAATCATGGCTAGTGAATATATATTAATATTCTATTTTTCCCAATTCTTAAAAAAATACTATAGATTTTATATTTAGTGGCATATATATAGTCCTTGGGAAAATAATTTTATTCCTAAGCATACTGTCAATCAATGGAAGAACACATCATGGAAACAATAAAACTGATAAGTACTGAGACAAAAGCAAGAGGTCTCACATTAATTTACCAGCAATAAGCATCAACAGCTTCCTATTGCAGTTAGTATAAAATCTAAACTCATTAACAAGGACCATAAGAATCTGCACAATCGGACATGGAAGCAACCTAGATGCCCATCAGCAGACGAATGGATGAGGAAGCTGTGGTACATATACACCATGGAATATTACTCAGCCATTAAAAAGAATTCATTTGAATCAGTTCTAGTGAGATGGATGAAACTGGACCCCGTTATACAGAGCGAAGTAAGCCAGAAAGATAAAGACCATTACAGTATACTAACACATATATATGGAATTTAGAAAGATGGTAACGATAACCCTATATGCAAAACAGAAAAAGAGACTCAGATGTATAGAACAGACTTGTGGACTCTGGGAGAAGGCGAGGGTGGGATGTTTCAAGAGAACAGCATCGAAACATGTATAGTATCTAGGGTGAAACAGATCACCAGCCCAGGTTGGTGCATGAGACAAGTGCTCGTGCCTGGTGCACTGGGAAGACCCAGAGGGATCAGGTGGAGAGGGAGGTGGGAGGGGGGACCGGGATGGGGAATACATGTAAATCCATGGCTAATTCATTTCAATGTATGACAAAAACCACTGCAATGTTGTAAAGTAATTAGCCTTCAACTAATAAAAATAAATGGAAAAAATGAATAAATAAAAATAAAATAAAACATAAGCTTCAAGTCGGAAAAAAAAAAAGAATCTGCACAATCTAATCCCTACCTTACCACTCTCACCCTCATTCACTTAGCTCTAGCAATGCTGGCTCCTGAGTCTGAAATGCTCTTTCCTGTCAAAACCTCACCTTCTGTTCCCCTCCTCTAATAGTCTGACAAACAATAGTCGAACAGACAACTCGAAGCCCTTATGCAGCAGAGATTCCATGAGAAAACACATTTGCAATTATTCTCCTAGATATGAAGAACATATCTTATCCTCCTGGATTATAAACAGCAGAAAAAGGGACTCTTCTTGCTCCAGGCTGCCAGGGTAAAAGATTGCAGTGAGCTGATTGGGAATACTCACGGGCACTGAGGGGAAAGAACAGGATCAGTTCTAATGAAGCAGCAGACCGAGTCCACACCAGCACAAAGCATATCAGAAAGTAACACATAATGGGACATACTGTAGGAAAACTGTTCTCTAGGATGGGAGTGAAGATAGGCTGAAGACACGAAGTCAGCTTCACCTGTGAAACATGGTTAACAGTAGCAAAGGAACCTCTACCTTTCAAAGCCATTCAGACGTAAAGAATTCATTATTCAACAGAACTCGTCTATGCCAGACTCTCAAGTCATTCAGTTTAATGGGGGAAGAAAGTGCCACTGAATAAATTTTTGAAAGTAACTTGTCTAGCAAAGAAAATCTTCTGAAACATTTAACAGATCGAACAGTCTAGAATATTGACAAAAGAAAATTAGGAAGCATCTATCAAAATTTTAAAGGAAAACTTTATCCAGAAATCCCATTTCTGGAACTATATCTTCCAGATACATTCAAACACATGCAAACAATATGTCCACAGAGACAGATACCACCACAAAATTTATATGTACAAAACACTGGAAATAGCCTGAATGCCTGTCAACAGGAGAATGGTAAAATTTCATGCAGTCATTAAAAAGAATAAGATAATTATCTACAATGATAAGAAAGAATCCATAGATACAGACAGAAACAAAAGGTATAGGACAATGTAGAATTGCTCTTTTATGTTATTATATACATTTATACATTTCTTTATATGTACACACATATAAGCACATTGCATATATGCAGAGACTATTTTTCTGTACTATTCTATACAAAAAAGGTCTTAATGACCCAGATAACCATGATGGTGTGCTCACTCACCTACAGCCAGATACCCTGGAATATGAAGTCAAGTGGGCCTTAGGAAGCATTACTATGAACAAAGCTAGTGGAGGTGATGGAATTCCAGCTGAGCTATTTCAAATCCTAAAAGATGATCCTGTTAAAGCACTGTACTCAATATGTCAACAAATTTGGAAAACTCAGCAGTGGCCACAGGACTGGAAAAGGTCAGTTTTCATTCCAATCGCAAAGAAGGGCAATGCCAAAGAATGTTCCAACTATCAGACAATTGAACTCATTTCACATGCTAGCAAAGTAATGCTCAAAGTTCTCCAAGCTAGGCTTCAAAAGCATATGAACCAAGAACTTTCAAATGTACAAGCTGGATTCAGAAAAGGCAGAGGAACCAGAGTTCATATTGCCAACATTCATTAGATCACAGAGAAAGCAAGAGAATTCCAGAAAAACAAAGCCTTTGTGTGAATTGCAATAAACTGGAAAATTCTTAAAGAGATAGGAATACCAGACCACCTTTCCCACCTCCTGAGAAACCAGTATGCAGGTCATGAAGCAATAGTTAGAACCAGACATGGGAAAATGGACTGGTTCAAAACTGGGAAAAAGAGTATGTCAAGGTTGTACACTGTCACCCTGCTTACTTGACTTATATGCAGAGTACATCATATGAAATGCCAAGCTGGATGAATCACAAGCGAGAATCAAGATTGCCAGGAGAAACATCAACAACCTCAGACATGCAGACGACACCACCCTGATGGCAGAAAGCGAAGAGGAACCAAAGAGCCCCTTAATGAGGGCAAGAGGAGAGTGAAAAGCATGGTTTAAAACTCAACAATCAAAACCTCAGATCATGGCATCTGGTCCCATCACTTTATGACAAATAGGTGGGGAAAAAGTGGAAACAGTGACACATTTTATTTTCGCGGGCTCCAAATCACTGTGGACAGTAACTGCAGCCATGAAACTAAAAGACGCTTGCTCCTTGGAAGCAAAGCTATGACAAACCTAGACAGCATATTTAGAAGCAGAGATATCACTTTGCCGACAAAGGTCCATGTAGCCAAAGCTATAGTTTTTCCAGTAGTCGGGTACAGATATGAGAGTTGGATCATAAAGAGGGCTGAGAGCTGAAGAATTGATGCTTTCTAATTGCAGTGCTGGAGATGACTCTTGAGAATCCCTTGGACTGCCAGGAGATCCAACCAGTCAATTCTAAAGAAATCAAACCTGAATATTCATTAGAAGGACTAATGCTGAAGCTCCAACACTCTGGCCACCTGATGCAAAGAGCCAACTCACTGGAAAAGACCCTGATGCTAGGAAAGATTGGAGGCAGGAGGATTGAAGGCAGAGGATGAGATGGTTAGATAGCATTACCAACTCAATAGACAAGAAAATCCGGGAGATAGTGAAGGAGAGGAAAGTGCTGCAGGCCATGTACTGGCAAAGTCAGGACACAACTTAGCAGCTAATCAGCAACAGCATAGCAACAGAATAAAATCAAGCTTTCTTCCTTAGTGGGAATTTAAGACAAGAGTTCTCACCAACAGAAGAAAAGCAAAGTTAACTACTGAATCCTATTCTAAGTAATTATATCTTAGTTTAATTGTTAAAATGGTCAGGTAAAACTGCTATGAGGCAGAATGTGTTTTGTTTGTTTGCTGTTATGTTGGTGAACACAAAAGACAAATTTTTAAACAAAGCATATCATTCTTTAATGAGCAGAATATGCTAAATATACTTTAACCTTTTTTAAAAAATCACAATCTTTATTAAAAATATAACGTCTGAAACATGCTACAGATGTTGGTATAGCTCGTTATTTATCAAGGATTGAATAAATTATAATCATAAAAGATGAAAACTATGCTAAATGAAGGTAGATTTAAATCAAAAAATATAAACACACTACTCTTCAAGAACTAAGTATTCATGATTAAAGAATGATATGACGTGCATTTGTTACATTACACTTCAAAGCTATTATACTGTACCGCTTCAGAGCCAAAGCTTCTCCTCCATGACTTGAATCATTACCAGCATCATGGACTGCCTCATAGTGTTTGAAAAGTTCATCAGCAGATCCAAGAGATTTCATACACTGCGGACATATGAAACCCTACAGAAAGAGGTAGTAAAAGGTTTCAAAATAGTATTTTGTATTGCAAAATAATCATTCGTATGTTATGAAATGTAGTCAAACGTAACATTCATACCAATTATGCCATTAAGTAAATTGTAATTTACAGCGCAAAGCCTAAATTCTGGTATTGTGCAAAGGTACATCACTGCCTATCCTAGTTGCAGCTTACAAAATATTTTTTAAGACCCTTATAACCATATTTTAGGTTGAATAAATTAATGGCTATAGTACAGAATTCTGAGAAGTTAGCTCTAACCTAGAAGTCTAACTGAGAAGACATGCCATCAGATCCTCCATCTCTCTAAATATCTCCCACAGTAAAACAATATCTGCTACAATCTACTGCACAGGAATGACAACCAAAAAACTAAGAACATGAAGCATTCTGATCACTGAGGAAAAAAGGTAATATAAATAACCCATAATTACCACAGAGTATGTGCTAATCGGTAAATCCCTTGCTAACCTAAGATTAACACTATAAAAGCTTAAAGTTAATAAACAGTCCTATAAAAATCTTAAAAACTTGGTATATGGTGATGGCATATAAGGTCCTACATTTGCAGTCCCCCAGTGACCCACCCAGTATAATCTCAGGACACTTTTACTCTATACAACATGCTTCAGCTATACTAAAGCACCTATGTTTCCCTGAACACATCACGGTGTCTCACACTTCTGCACCTCTGCATATATTGCTTTTTCCTCCAGCATTACCATCAGGCTTCCCACGTGACCGGCTCAGTGATACAGAATCTGAATGCTAATGCAGGAGATGTGGGTTTGACCCCCGTGTCAGGAAGATCCCTCTGGAGAAAGAAACGGCAGCCCACTCCAGAAATCTTGCCTGGCAAATCCCATGGACAGAGGGTCCTGGCAGGTCACAGGCCACGGGGTGGCAAAACAGTGGGACACAACTGAGACCAAACAACAACAATAAATAATATAACACAACAAAGCTATTCTGTTTCCCTAGTGACTAGTGTAGAACTTTGAACATACCATATGCTTTCTACTCTGTGTATCTATTTAATGAAATACAAATGAACCTAGCAGGGCATAACTTTGCAGGAAAAAAAAAAACAAACAGAAAAGCTCAACAGGTTGCAGATTATAAAACCTTCCAAGGGACAGACTGAGCTAAGTAATAAATATTCCAGACACACAAAAACTATAAATAAGTGTATTACTTCTTCTCCTTTGTGGGTGCTATACAAATAACATACCCTCACATCACTTATTCACATTATATGGCAGATTCAAGGCTCAATGAGGATGACATTATCAGACAATGGTATAACAGAAGTATATATAAAGAACTATAGGAATACAAGAGAAGTATCCAAATCTGACTATTAAGCAGTTAATACTGCCCCCAAAATCCACAGACACACATACGTGTGTTTGTGTATATGTTGACATATGTCTATAGGAGTCACTAGAAATAGATCTAAATAGGAATTTACTTGTCAGAAAATAATGGCACTCTAAGCAAATAGGGGAGCATGAACAAAGGTATAGAAGAGGTATAAAATACAGTCATGCTGTATTTGGAAAACAAAGGTATGTTCTGATCACAGAGCCAGAGTGAAGGGCAGGGGCACTGTTAAAGGTGAAGGAAAGCAATGATCTCCTATGGAACACCTAAAATGAGCAAAGACTGCAGTACTGAGGACATGCCTTTGAACATCAGAATAATGCCATTAGGATCCAGAGACACGGATGCTCGGCACTGTCTGTATTAATCTAGCTGGTGTTACACTCCTGTTTGAAAGCCATCAGTTATCTACCACCATGTCTAATAATGGCTCTATATTAAATAAGCTTTCTTGGGCATTTTTATAACTTCTGCCCAGTAAATAAAGTACCACACTTAGTTAACATGCTTTTAATGCAACAGCACATAAAGCCCTATAATATTTAGCTTGGCATTTCTCTTGTGTCTCAGCTTTCGCTAGTAACTAAAAAGCAAATTATACTGTTCCTCAGGGAATCCACACCCCAATTATGTTATTTAATCCTCACAGTTTTGGCTTTCTGATTCTTGTCTTTACTTTCAAGTTTTGTCTCTAGATACTAAAAGATGCCAAAAAGCTAATGATCACATGAAGGTATGTCATACCTTCTTAACGCTTCTAAATATTACCAGGTTAATACTCCAGAAAGAACGGATTCATCCCTAAAGAGAAGTTTTAGAAATTCAGTAATACATTTTTAGCTGCAGAAATATTCTAAGTGAGTTTTCCATGTGATTAGACACGGCATGTTTAAATAAATCTTCAATTTTAGGACATTTCTGATAAAAATAATTCTAAAATATATACATGCTCTTCCTCAACCTTCTCAATCTGATGATATTAAACCTTTGCTTAACGTTCCAGAGCATAAATATTAATCATTGAATGGGTGCCTTCCACTGTATTAATTTTGGCAAATCTCTAATTCCTGTACCCACATTTTATAGTCTTTCTTACACCCTGTTCATCTTTCAAAAATTATTTTTAAAACTTATTCACATAGTATTTCTAGCAATCCTAGCATGACGTGGATGGGAAGGCTAGATTAAGGGGGAAAACTTTATTAAAACCACATCACTCACTTAAAATAAAGCATATAAAGTAAACTCAGAATGAGTATCTGAAAGATGTCCTGTGAATAGAGTGCATGATCTTTAGTTCATGGACTCTGTGATACTAATTCTGGATATTAAGAGACTCCTCTATTTATTTTTTCTAAACTTCTTCATGGGAATTGAGGTTGCTGGATAACTTACAAACAGTAAAACAGCAACAATAAAACACTAAAATAGCCAGCTATATTTATTTCCCTTAATCATTCCAAACATCTCGCCAACTCTCTCCCTGTCTCTCTCCCTCATACACACACACAGCTGATTTAAGAATAAAAGCATTAAATTCCTTACTCTTAAGTTTTCAGTTATCTGCAATCCTTTCTCAAATCTACTGTAGCAAAGAACTTAGCTTAACTTGATACTTATGATACCCTATTGTATCAAATATTCCTTCAGTTAAAAGGAAAGTTCTTATTTAAGTGACAGATAGGTAAGACAGTCACTTTTGATTCTGGCTAACTCATAAAGAACAGTTAACCCGGATGCTCTGGAAGAAAGGCAACTGGTAAAACACTAAGCAGGGTTCCAAGAACCTCTCATGCCTCTACGGCCGCACTGCTTCTGTAGTGTAACTGGTGTCCTCATTTATGTACTCATTTTCCTACCACACTAGACAATGTCTGGTTTAATTGCTCCCCCCTCAAGTTTTTCTGCGGTTCCCCTCAAGTTGAATCATACATTACACTCTTTCTGCAAATATCTACAATAAAAACTCCCTGGCATAGAGATCATATCTTCTTTACCTTTTCATATCTTTTACTACCAAAATACCTGGCACATTAGAGGTACCCCATGAATATATTAAGTACGTGAAAGTTTGGTGAGATCATTTTCTCATACATTATTACCTTACAGCAAAAAGTCTGATTTTTTATCTTTCATGATAAATAAAAAGTTTCCTTTTATAAGATTCGTAAAAGAAAATTTTTAAAAGCTATGTTTCTTTGTTTTTAGAATACTGTCATGCTTTTCAAAGTACGTATATCATCTGAAAAACTTTTTCCAGCCTAAAAATGGACACCACTTCCCAGCACTGGCTCCCACTCCCAGCCTCAGATTCTCACCAGCCTCACACACTACAGGGAAACATGTGAGGGAGCACTATTAATGACAAGTGTGTTCCATTCTGTAACTTCCAACAGGTCTGGGGAAAAGACTGACACAGAGGTAGACCCAGACTCTGGATCTGCTGTATATAATGCTGTGTATCTTCCCAAATAAAGACAGTAGCAGTTCACACGCAAGGTCCTCTTTTTCTTTAAGAGTAAAGCATCTTAACTGAAAGCATTTTAATACATTCATTAATAAAACAGTAAGTACACAATAAAGATATAACTTACAAATGATGAAATAAAAAACATTCACTTCATATTTCAAATTTCATGGCAAAATTTATGCAAAAATAAGCTTAAACTTTTATGTATTTTACAGATTCACAGAAAGACACCTGCAAACAGAACAGCCAAGCCAACTTCCCAAGAGCATCTTTTCCTTATTGAACCTTCTTAGAGCATGCATAATGAAAGCAATCCATACTCCCATGTAGCACAAAGTTAAGCAACATCAAGGCAAGGAAAAACAAAGCTGTTCTGAGCAACCCATAGCCAAGCTGCTAAAACAAAATATTCAGGACCCACAGTAACACTGGAGTCACTAAGAAGTTCCTGTCCTCTTGTCTCATTTTCAGCGTGCACTTTCTGGTAATGCTCCGACAAATCAATAGCAGTTACACATCTTTTCATACATAATGGACAGATGAAACCCTGTGAAATAACAACTTTTAGGAGGATATACACAAAAAGTTATTTATGAAACAAAACAGAGACAATGAAAATAGACATACCAGGAAAATAATTAGTATATCTCTTTTTAGTACATAGAAGGGAAATTTTCAAGTAGTAACTGTACAAAGGGTGGAAGGCTGCTATCCCAAGTAGGACTCTGAAATCAGTTTCCATCCTTAATGCTATAAATTCCCATCGGTCAATTTTACTGTAGTAAACAGTTGCTTTTTTTGGAATCTTATAATTCATTTTGTTTAGGATACTCTGTCCTTATTTATGTGAGAGCTAGTATTGGCAAGCTAGCTTTTACTTTGGATCAAGAAATGACTGGCAGTTTTAACATATATTTTTATGTAAGATAATGTTCTCAACAAAAAGTTCTTATAATGAAAGCAATTTTCAGTCTTCACCATATTCCACCAGCTAAAGATCCCATTCCTGCCCACACCCACAATTCCCAGCAAGTGACCCCCCCCCATCTAATTTTATGAGCTAAGAAAAATCATTTTAAAACAATCTCCCAAACTCCCCATAGCCTAATAATATCTGTATTTTAAAAT